TGCTGACCCGTTTGAAGCGTAGCCGCCGTGGCGAGTTCCTAAACCCTAAACCCTAAGCCCTCAACCCCAAACCCTAAACAGTAGTTTCCATTTCATTTTCCATTATCCCTATATAACCCCAATATACTACCGTAGTTTCCATTTTCTTTTCCATTATCCTTCTATAATATTCTATTATACCCCATTATACTACAGTAGTTTCCATTTTCTTTTCCATTATCCCTCTATAATATTCTATTATACCCCATTATACTACAGTAGTTTCCATTTTCTTTTCCATTATCCCTCTATAACATTCTATTACACCCCATTATACTACAGTAGTTTCCATTTTCTTTTCCATTATCCCTCTATAATATTCTATTATACCCCATTATACTACAGTAGTTTCCCTCTATAATATTCTATTATACCCCATTATACTACAGTAGTTTCCATTTTCTTTTCCATTACCCTTCTTGCCTGCCCCTGGCGCAAACAGCAGGGCATCCCGAGGAGGTGTCAGCGGAAAGCCGGCGAAGGCCGGTGCTGAGATGAAGCATTTTCTGGGTTGCTGTTAAGGAGCTTAAATTCAGTTACTATAATGGGTTTAGGGTTTAGGGTTTTAGGGTATATTATCCCCCTATAATGGAGAATCAGATGGAAAAGAAAATGGAAAATGAAATGGAAACTGGGGGAATATAGGGATTAAGGAACTTGAATTAAGTTACTATATTGGGAAACCCTATTATTCACTATATATACCCATTATGGTAACTTGAATTAAGTTCCTTAACAGCAACCCAGTTTTTCTCGCTGACTTCTCCTCGTTGCAAGATGAAATCCTGGAGGCCAGTGCTTCCGAAATTAAGAACGAGCCTGGGCCTATGGAAGGAATCTTCAGCAAGGAACCTGCGGCACAGCAGGCTGTGTGCTTGACTTACCAAGGCAGGGCATGATGAGACCTGGCGACTTCAATTAGTATTTTTGAGAAGTTTGTACAGTTAACCTCAGTTTACCTGGGGTCTCTAAGCTTAGCTCTAGCCTGGTTAGCTGCACATCGGTCCCTGAAGGTTGAAGGCCTTGCATCTAAGATGCTTCCTACGCAGGAAATGGGACCTTAATTTGTTGTCGTTTGGACATGGGCACTTCAGTAGCCTGGGCGATTCTCCAGCGCTGCAATGCTCGATTCAGACTTGCGCAAAAGACGTGGTGTAAAGCGCCAAAATCAAGCTAGGATGTTCATGTAGTGTATTGCATCTTAACGGTTTGAGCAGCAGCACATGTATGGCATTGCCGGAAGCAACACTGGTGAATTGGCATCTTGGCTCTCTAGTAGTAGGAAGGGAGAGGCCATGGTCCTGAGGCAGCAGCTATGGAGCTCGGCTGGAAGATCAGGTGTCCAGCTCTGCTCTAGTGGAAGCAGCTGTCCAGACAATTCTTTAGTCAATTCTTTGTAAGTATTTGCATGCTGTGTGGTGCTTTTTCCAATTGCTTCATATCAGCTTTACTTGCTGTGTGCAGGGCAAGCCCGGCTGCAAACAAGAGCCTTGTTCCACTGCCGCGAGATGATGCAAGATTAGACCCGCCTGGAACCTAGATCGTTTAGGGAAGTGGTTGAACATGCAAGTATATGCAAGCATGTTGACTCCGTGGAACTTTGACGATGCTGCCTGGGCTGACTTCCATGCTGAGGTTGTTGGGGGCCACAATTCGCAAGATCTTCGGATCGCAGTGGTACTACGGACAGGCTCCCACTTCAGGAATGCCTCATTGCTGTGCAATCTGTGCAGTCATGCATGTCGGTGCACTTGGCAAGGTCATTGCTATTGACACGGATGTGATGCACTCAGATAGGGGGCAAGCAGGCTGAAAACAGTTCTCGTCGCATTGTGAAAGATGTTTCAAGTCACAGATTTGTGAGCAACCACTGAGGTGACATCGGGCGAGAGGGCGTACCACGTGGCCTACGAGGATAGGGGCAGGGCTCGAGATGCTCAGCTTTTCACTCGGGACGGCTGAATTCCAGTGCAGGACGGAGACGAAGAGCACTTGAGCGCTCTGGAAGTCAAGCGCTTCTTAGCCCGGTGCCTTAGAGCAGCAACCAGCACAACACCCTCGAAGCTCGATGTTGGCCCAGGCCGCTCCCACGCGCTCTGCACGGCCCTCAGAGGCTGGGCGCTCTGCTCGCCCCTCGACAGCAGGCCGGGAACCAGGCACACCGCGGCCAAGCCTCCCGCCTGCCTCCGCGCGACCCTCGCGAGGTGAACTGCCAAAGCCATCAATTGGCATCACTTGGCCATATTGCTCTGCCTCACTCGCTATGGTCGCAGGAGGTCATGTACGAATTGCACCGAAACCAACTTGGGCGAGGTCTTTGGGAGAGGCGACGTGCAAGCGGTGGTCGAAAACCTATGAACACCGTTCAGATGTGTTTCGTATGCCACCGTTGCAGTAGGTCAAATTGGCCTCATTGGGGACCATACTGGGAACGATGGGCATCGGCATAGCCATTGCTTCCTGCCTGCAAGAAAGAGTCTTTCAACATAGGACACTGTTGTGACTGACGAAGTCTAGGAAGTGCATGGGCGTGCTTAACCCTCAATGGCTTGAGGTGATCAGCGTGTCCACCTGCCTGTCCTGCCTGTCGAGTGTCACCCTCGGAGTTGCATGCACGCAGCAGTGATGGCATTCTGAGTTTTAGGCCTTCTGAGTTCTGGGGACACAGAAACCACCGTTTCTGACCTCAGGCCCGCAGTCTGACTTGATCTTGGGTCTGAAGTTTTCCCATAAGTGCACGGGTTGCTGCAGGTCTGCTAGCTTTTCGACAGCTCTGCCACCGTGGGAGTGAGTCTCAGATTGATCAACAGGCGTTGTCATTTGTGGCCTTGGCCTGCACTTACCCTCTTGCCCTTCACGAGGCTCAAGCTGCACCAGATGAAGAGGTCATGCCGCAGAGAAGCATGCTGCTTTTTGCAGAATTTTTCCATTACCCTAGTATTACCCCAATATACTATGGTAGTTTAAATTTTATTTTCCATTATCCCAATATAACCCCTACAATTGAGTGAGTCGCTGTGCCCTGCTGGAGGTGCCCCTTGTGACTGGATCCCGCTGGTCACCGCCTCCCATGGAGGCCTCAGGGTGGTTCCCGGCAGTTGATCGGCATGACAAAGTGTGGGGTGTTCTGGCTTTTTCTTTTTTTTGGGGCCTGATTTTCTGCATACTGATCACATGCGGAATCAAAGAGTTTCAGCTCACTGCATGACCATACATATGCAGCTATGTCGTTGCCCCTGTGAGTTTGCTTTGCTGGCCTCCGTATGGCAGGAGGTCGAACTGCCTTCGTCCAAAGAGCCGACTCCTCTCCACGTCGCTTCCTGGCAAGATATTCTGAAAAGTCTATGTTGTTCGACCTTCTACCTAAGCGCGAGCTACGCTCAACACTGCTCTTGCCATTGTCCAAGACTGAGGAACGTGAGCTTCCTGAGTCGATCGTGACGGCTGAAATTGAGGTTGCAGAAGTCCCCGAGGCATGCAAATCCCGTTGTTTCAGCCCATGGGCCATCCTCTGACAAGTTCCAAACGCTGGCAGGTTTTTCTGTTGATTCCATTCGGTTCTTTTCAGCCCCGGCTTCCACGTCCATGGCCCCTTGCTGTCTCTAAACCGAAGGTCTGGTTGAAGGTGTGATAAGTCCGGGTAGTAGTCAAAACATGTCTCGAGCAGAAAAGCCAAAGCAAAATCTGAACGTGCTGCCATGTGCTGTCATCCCCACACACTACTATTTCCTGCGCTGATCCAGATGCCGGTTTCTGCCACAGGGACAAGCATGACTTGTTCTGACTCAGGTCTGTACCACCCTGTCCTTGCCTTGTTGATGCCTATTCACGCGTCCACGTGACTCACGTGCGCAAGGCAGAGGATGTCTCGAGCACGTTCGAGACAAACCTGCCTCATGATTTCAGCAGCGTGGAGCACATGGAGCCTGTAGCAGGACTCTTCATTTGATTGGGTCTACGCCTGGAGGGACGTGTGACATCCTGTGACTGTCCCATGACATCTTTGAAGAGGAGGAGCTGCGGAGTCAGAGGCTGTGGCAGTGCAGACAGTCGCAGATGAAGAGTTGGCTGCTGCTGCAGCAGCACTGGTTGAGGCTGGTTTGCTGATGATGATGCTGATGATGATGATGATGATGATGATGATGTTTAGAGGGCATGCGTTCATCCTCTGATTTGTCACCGATCCATTCATTAACAGCCTCCAACTTTACTTTCGATGTGCCTTGATCTAATGCAAGGCTTCTGGTCTCGTTGTCAGAGTCGCCGGACGAGCATTCGTCCGCACGCTCGAGGAGGCCTACTTGCAGATGTTACTAAGCAGAGCTTATTTCAGTTCAACCATTCTCGTTTCTTGTCAAGTGAGAGGCCTGGCACTATCTCCTTGGTGGTATGTCTGCAACGTTGTGTGGGGCTGCTGGGGGTTCAGGCTCCCACCAGCGAGAGAGAATTGCTTCTGGAATTCTCAATGTGATTTCGCAGGTCCTGAGCCCAGTAAACCGGAGCCGCAGCTGGAGGCAAACAGCGATGAGGCAGATCTTGGAAGGACAAAGTCTAGTGTGCAAGAGAAGAGCATGATGAAGTGGGTCTGTTGAGGCTGTGAGTGGGCTTGAGTCGCTAATGACCTCGGTCCTGGTGGCTTGCGCGGGAGCCGCATCCCCTGGCAGCCCTGGCACAACAGTTGATGCGAAGGGCTGATGTCTGCAAAGCCAAGGTCATCACCATTCTCGTCAGCATCCGTCCTGCAGAGGCGGTCATACCCGCCTCAGAGAATAATGTTTGAAGCTGCTGAGCCAGGATGTTCCAACAGCCCTGCCTCACTTCCCGCGCCCTGAGGCCTTGCGAGTGCACAACTACTCTCGCAGTTGTGACTGCTCAAGAGTGTGTGAACAACAGGCGCAGACAGGCTGGCCAGGTCAAGCGTCTCCCATGAGGTGCGGTGCTTCAGAGCCTCAGAGCCTCAGCTTCTGAGATTTGTCCAGACTTGAGGCCCTATGTTGGTAAGCCCAGTCCAGCTCACTTCCCGTCGCCGAATGCAGTGCCGGCGCCTGCTCTTTTTCGTCAGGCCATGGGGTTTGAAACCAGGAGTGCACGCTGTGCGTAAACAAGTTTACGCATTCCCCAGGACTGCTGCTTTGACCTAAATGCTTGGCTTTCCTGACGACTTGATGAGATGCATGAGCCAACCGGTGCAGGCCACGCAACAGGAGCTTCATGCTGGATGCTCAGAAGATCTCAGAAGTACTTTTGCAGGGACGGAGCTCTTAGTGCTTCCGATCTGCAGCCTGTGCAGGCATGCAACACACCTGCTCGAGCCAAGACCACGCTGCAGCAGGTGAAGGTTGAGGCCTGCATTTTGTCTCAATCACAGGATGCATTCCACTCCTGAAGCATGGGCCATGTTGGACCGCCAGATTCCATCCACTCCACCGGCAGCTAGGATCGGAAACCCGTTTGCGAAGCATGTGCATCACAGACTGTGCCTTGTGGAGAAGGCCATCTTTGATGTCCCGCCTGGGGAGAACCCCTGTACCGAACTCATTCTTCGACATCTGTCGCCTCATGTGCTTCATGCCAATGCATGCCAGTGCCCAGGCAACTGTGACCGCCGCCGTTCCACCAGGCGAGACGAGGGCGATCCTTGTTGGGATGCTTCGGGTCTTGCCGGGGCATTCAGGTCCAGTTCACGTCGAGCGCCGTTCAGCACCACCTCCACCGGTGAGCCTGACGGTGCAAGTCTCAATTGCCTTGACATGTTCGAGCTTGGCTATCACGTCATGAAGGCTACCTCAGCCGCCCCAGTTGAGCCTTCTCCAGCGCCACAGCAGGCGCCGCAAGGACCTCAGTTTGGCAGGGCGCGAGCTTTGTTTAACAGTGTTTCTTTCGAAGCTGCAGGCTTGCTCACTCCAGAGTAGGGAAACCCTGCCAACTCCGAGGCTGAGAGAGCACATAAGAAGCGACCGCACGTCCCAGGCCAAGGACTGGCTGCACTAGCAACGAGAAGGCATAAAGTAGTATAGAGTTGATATGGCTGAGAGTAGAAGAGCCCTGACTTGGAAACATTCTGCACATTAACATATCTTTGGGCCATCTGTGGCAGAATTTCTCTTTGAACGGACAATTTTTGTGTCTGGTCGTAGGATGCACCACATTCGGCAAGCTAGGAAACCACATACGGCGCAACAAAGTTTGACGAAAGGCAGACATGTGTTCATAAACGGCATCCATACACCAGGTGCATCTTTCCATACATCGCTCCATGTAAGGCTGTCGAGGCTGTTTGTCTCTGTCTTTGCTATGTGCTAGGGCCACCTCATTACAGACCAGTAGCATGGAAGGACTAAGTCTCCTAGTCACGCTGTAAATGTTAGTCTGGCAGCAATCAGCCCTGCCTCGCGACTCAAGGAGGGAGCATGTGCCAGATGCGGGAAGCCGATGTATGCAGATGCGAACTTCTGCAAGAATTGCGGGCAGCAGAGGGGCAAGAAGCTTCCGCAGGCTCGAAGGCTCGAGTCTGGAGTCATGAGCCTCAAAGATGGCTTTCGAGCATCCTTGAGGTTCCACATGGCCAAGCTTTTTCTGTGCAGCCCTCAGCGCGTAGCATATAATAGAAGCTATTTTAATCTTCCTTTTTACGATATTTTTTTTAATGGTCTAAGGATTTAAGGGTTTAGTATGCGGTATGCGCTGGATTTTGCCGTGAATCTCAGGCCGGGCAAAGGGCAAAGTCCAAACAGGCTGACAAGCCGCGGGGCTTCCGCTACGCAAAGCAGCTGAGCAAGCTGAAGGCCCCGAAGTGAGGTCTTTGACAAACACCTTGTTATCATTATTATTAGCAGTATTTGTATTATTACTAGTATTACAGTTAGTATCATTAATAGAATTGTTATGGTTATTACGATTAATACTATTGGTGCTATGTTCATGATGACTATCACTATTCCTTCAAGAATCATTTTCATGCTCCTGGCATAGTCCAGTGCCACTTTCAATTTGCAGGAACTGGGCCATTCGGATTGTGAGGAGATCCGAGATGCCCCTTGGCTGCAGTTCTCAAGCTGCGAGCATCCTTGCGTGTCTGGTGTGTGTGCGGAAGCTCTTCAGCTCCTGCAACTATAGTACTTGTAGTACGTATAGATAGTAATTATAGCAATTATAGTACATAATAATAAGAATAAGACTCGCAACCAAGATCTTGACCAAGTGCAGCGGAGACTTGAATGCTGCCCTGAGAGAGCTCAACCCTGGCAGCCGTGCCTAATGGCATGACTCGACCAAAGTGGTAGTTTGCCAAAACAAGGGGACCCAACATAGAGCCCAATATACTACAGTAATAAGGGACCCCAAAAAAGGTAGCCCCAATTTTGGGAAACCAAGTACCCTCATCCTCAACATTCACAGGCAAGGACTTACTCAGAGAGATTCTTACTCCATGATCTTAAGATTACTTCAAGGTGCCTTTACAGACCGCCCAATTCGGTGCACGATCCGTTTTATGTTGGAGCCTGGGGTAAGGTGTTGTGTTCAAGCTCGCCTTATTTTCGTTGCCATGGCGTACACCTTGCCCCAAGCTCCGCAATTCGATGCTGGACCTGCGTTGCCAGCACTCTGCGTGCCGAATTAGTTTTGACTTCTAGGCGCATGCCTGGATGCGCAGTCACTTGTATTGGAGGGGTCGCGCAGAAGGGAGTGTATCCCAGCACACGTTAGAGCTCCCGCATGCTGCTACAGTATTTGTTTGGCATCGCCTGTGCCTACTAGAAGCACTCAAGATGTAGATAGCAATGACAACAAATTCAGAATCCAAGTTGGGCAGCTTCACCTGTCATCCTTTCCAGACATGCAAGCAAAGCGAGACAAATGTCTTCGTTCGACCTTCCAGTCAGACCCACCCAGCTGACAGGTTCTAAGCCAGCAGACGTCACAGTTGCTGCCATGGCGGCCGTCGAGGTGGCGCGGGTGATGGCTGAGGCGGCGCAGATGGTAGATGAAGCCTGGAAGGAGCTGGCAGGCTCAGGCAAGGCGATTTGCTTTTCCTGGCACCTTTTGGTGTGTTGCCTTGGCAAGGCGCAGAGCCAGAAGGTGGCACAAAGTCACCGAGCTCCTTCCGAGCAAGAGCCTGTGAGTTCAGCCCGGGGTTCCCGGCAAAACGTAAGTTTCCCAAGCTACAGCAACTTGTTCCCAGGAAAGCGTGCGGACAACAAAAAGGAAGTCCATGCCCAAGCGATGGTATTTCCAAGTTTCTTTGACACGGAGCTGCGTCGTATCCGGTAGCGCTGCGTACTGCAAGCAGAGATCGAAGCTGTCTCAGGGATTATGCTGAATAATGAGAGAGACTCTAAGGGGCAAGTGGAATGGTCGGGTGTCCGACCTGACCATGAAAGAGTATCGAGACATGAAGCATCTCAGCAGCACTGCAAAAGATTTATAAGAGATCTCTGCATTTGGAAGCGTTGGCCTGCCGCTCTGACGAACTGAGGTGGGGTCTGGATGCTACAGCCTAAGCTAGCTGCGTTACCTCGATGCCGCTTCCAGTCTCGTCCCTCCAAGGCTGGCTACAGGTCAGCACTACGCGTAGGGCAAGCGCCTTACATCGTGGAGGAGGCACACGCATAAGAAAGTCAGAAAGTCCTTGCAAGAGAGCTGAGGCCAAAATGGAGCATTCGTGGATCCCTTTCCAAGCCGCTGCGAGCAAACTCAGATGCCGGATACCCAGATTTCATCAGTTGGCTTGGCGAGCTGCATAATACAGCGATAGATTTCTCAGAACTTGCCAGCAACGCTGTGTGCCTTGCAAGGGCATGCTTCCTACGGATGCGGCAAAGGCGTACGATGCGTGCGGCTCCGAGAAGCAAAAAAGTAGACATGATCAAAGCAAGCGTTTTTTGGGGTTGGCAGCTCTGCTTGTGGTGCCGCTTACAAACATCTCAGCTCTCCCAGTTGCTACAACACAGCGCCCAAGTTCACCATCGGAAAGTCGCTCATCGGGGCCTGGGGCCCCAGATCCTGGGCCTTGTTCCCTGCTCTACGCAACAGAAATCAGCATTGTTGCAAGCGCCGGCTGTCTTGAGCTCAAGCTTGTTTGCAGGTGAACCTGGAGACTTGAAAGCAACCACAGCCCCAATGAGCTGCCCATCCATCCCACCATGAGCTCACCTCAAAAAAGGCTCAAATCATATAGTCTAATGAGTCTAATTTACACCTGCCACCAGGGCCTTTGCAGACTCCGACTCTCCAGCCTCCAAAGTTGAGTTGGCCCATTAGCAATTACCTGCCGTGTAACTTGTTGAGTTATTGTTATGTCACCTCTACCTATTGAAAAAACAAAGACCTATAGTATGAGCATTGACTTGAAGTTTCACGAGGCTGCACACTTCATAAGCTCTACTTCATCAGCTCGCATGCGGCAAGGCTGCAGACCCGCTGGCGAACAACCCAGGCCCACAGTATCTGGTGCCAAGCACCATGCCAGTGACTCGGGTTATGTCCTTGTCAGACGTGTGTGACCTTCTGTGTGCACTCACCAAGACTTCAGGAACCCATCTGGGCATCCCACCATCTGGAAGAACTCAGGAGCCAGCCCTTGTTGGGTCATCGTCTTCTCACACCGGACATTGTTGACTTTCGAGACAAGCTTACTACTTCGTGGCTGCAGGAGCGAAGTTTGGAACCGAGACGCTCCAGGTGAACGATGAGGACCATCTGAATTACAGTTCGTGCGCGTTGGGGTGAAATGTCTGTGGCTTGAAGTGTTGTGTATCAGCGGGGCTTGTGGCTCAAGACAGCCTGTGATCCAGAGCCATGCGACAATTCACGTAAACATAAGATTTCCTACCAGTCTGCAGGGATTCGCCTCTTTCTGCCCCTACATGGAACCTGCCCAAAGCAGGGCTGGTAGTACCATGCCCTCGGTCAGCCTCTTGAGCTGATGTCAAGGCAGCTGGGCTCAATTGCATCAGAGTAAGAAATCTTCATCACAGCTTTGGTTGTTAGGGATCCATCTGCGGAACATGTCTTCACCAAATACTGGTTGGAGAAGGCTGCTGTGTCAGGGCATGGGCATGCTGTTCCGTCAAGTTCTTCCACAGGGGACTCTTGTGACCTTTTGGGGAGCACGGCGCTCCACATGCGGAAAATCTCAAAGATAGTCTGCATGCAGGCGCGGCGGGTGACTGATGCTTGCCGGTCTGCTGCTCCTTCTTCCAGGCCTTGGGCTCACTGAACAGATTTGCAGGACATCTTGTAGTGACAGGCTTTGCCTTCGGGCTGGAGCAGGTTCGCCCAGAAGAGCTATGCTGCAACTCTGAGGGCAGCAACAGTCTACTTCAGTGTGCCTGGAGTTGCAGAATCACTTGGTCCTTTCTCCACTCCATCCATTTGTCTCTCACACTCTCCCTGGCTCTGGCTTCGCCCTTCACCGCCTCATTGTCTCCTGTTCCTCCTCTCCCATAGACCCCTCCCTTCATCGCTGCTTTCTTAGCTTCGCCACAGGTGCAAACTCCTCTGCAGCCAAAAAGTCAGCAAAGATCCACATGACGAGTTTGGCCACGACTGAAATTCACAGTTACGTATCTTGGCAACACATTATCCCTATGCAACCCATTGTAGTAGTTTCCATTTTCTTTTCCATTATTACTATATTAGCCATATATCTATATATGTTTATTTACATCTATATATACATACCCTAGTATAATGTACCCCTAACCCTACACCCTGCTTTGCAGAAAGAGCCTGCGGGTTCTTGCAGGGCTACAGATAGAACCCCAATATACTAAAGAGTAGTTTGCATTTTCTTTTCCATTATCCCTACGTAACCCAATATACTAGGAATCCGATTCGACTGAAAAGCGTTAAGGATCTGCTCCCCTGTCAGGCTGCTTACACTGCAGCAATCAACGCGGCGCACGCAAAGTCGTTTGGGAACAGCTTCGCGCTGGCTTCTGGGAGGTATCAACTTGGATCTGATTTAAATCTGTTGTGGCGGGCTGGTAATGTTGCCACCATCTTGGAGGCTTTGGCTGCTTCTCGTCTTCATTGCCCTGATTCCTTTTTTTTGGACACCTGTGGCACCCGTCTGCGGGTCTGGCAGTGTAGCCAAACATAGCCAAGGTGGCCTCAGAAGCAACCTGGGTCGCCTACCTGGACGCTGATGCAGCTGTTGTGGACTTCAGCAAGGATGCACTGTCTGCGGTGATTTCGGCACATGCATCGAAGGAAACTCGATTGATGGTGAGTCGAGGTGAGCTCATAGGCCCAGGGAGATCTAGCTTGTTCAACTCTGGCTTTGCGCTGGTGAGACAGCATCAATGGGCCGACGACTTCGTCCAGCTTTGGCTATCCCAGCTCTCGGGATCCCTGGCCAACGATCAAGAAGTATTGGAGCAGTTGTACAGGCAAGACGCCTTGAATTGCCAGCGGCACATCGTCATTCTGCCCATGGGTCTGGTCTACAGCGAGATTGGGAATCCCATCTCCGGCCCGCCTGACCAGCAGCACGTGGTCCATCTGGCCGGGGTCCCCGATGAGGTCCGCCGTGGCGTCTTCTCTGCTTTCTGGCACGACCTCTGTGGAAAACAGTCTGACGAGATGATGGCCCACCCGGGCAGCAGCCTGGCCTTGACATAGCACCTTACACTCTGGTAGATTCTGTGGAGGTGGACGTTCAATTTACCAGAGGGATCGTTCCTTGCCTTCAAGGTGCGGGGCTCCAAAACGTCTACCTCCGCGAGATGGCGACATTCCTGCATCTGAGCTCAGGACGGTGTCGAGTCCTGGGTTCTTGCTTTTTACTGCAGTTGGTCCAGAGTTGATTTTCCAAGCTTGTTGCGTGCCAGCTAGAGGAGAAAACCAGGCAGCCGAGTTGCTCCTTGGCTTGCATTTTTCAACAAGGTGGAACAGCAGAGAGCATACTTGAGCTAACCTGGATCTGCAAAAAACAGCCAGGACCCTAACCCCAAGAAGGGGGCTGAGGCGTAGCCCATGCTAGCAGTGCTCTCGCCTACGAGGTGTCGAGAAGCCAAGAACCAGAGGCAGTGCTTGGAGGCTGGGAGTTCTTTTTGTGCATGGCATCGAATTTGAATCTTGGAGACGTGCAAAGTCGAGGGGGCTGCCCTCTTCATGATGTTTCAGCATGCAAGCATTCGCTACATCACCTTTTTTTTGCCAAGAAAGTCAGGCTGCGGAACGCCTGGCATATGGGCTTATGATGAAAAGCCGCCAGGAGGAAGCCGTCACCCGGCAAGATAGTCAAGATGGCGGATTGTTCTGCATTTTGTGTGTAGGAGGCTTGGCTATTGGAGAGGCTCAAGGCCCTGTAAGCTGCGAACCACGGGGGGAACTTGGTTGGTATCGCGTTGGCGCAGGGATCGGGAGATCTGGAGAAACTTGGTAGGCGGACCGAGCTGTCCGACACCACGAGGGCCAAGCATTCGGCTGTATAGATTGCAAAGTCGAATACAGATTCGCGAGATGGGAAATCCCTCAAAACTAGTTAAAACACCAAGTGCAAAAAACACTGAACAAAGCCGCATGCCGGAGACATCTCGCAGGGTCAAGATAGGCTTACATCTCATTTACACTTGAGACTACTCCAGTGACTCCTTTTCTGTTATTCAAGCTCGTAGAACTTGCTGTGAGCCTGTCAGGGTCGGGAAGGCGCTGGAGATCAACTTCTCTGGCCTTGCTTCCCTCCGCTGATGCTATCCTTCATTCCATTCCTGCGGTGCTTGTCCTGCACCCGATTCCATTCCCCACAACGGGCACTGCTACAAGCGCAGTGTATTTCGCCTGCTGGGAAGAGCGATTCCGGCTTCAGGTCGTGAATTAATTCGACGATCGCCTGAGCTTAATGCCTTTGGCCTCGGCGGGCATGTTGCTACCGAGGGTCCTTCGCATTTTGCACCGCAGTGGATGTGACTGGTGATTTTACTTCAGCTGACCGGTCAAGACATCTGGCTTTTCGACAGACGGCTTGATGGCTTTGTTTAGCTCCTTTTTTAATTCAGCCAGCCATCCCGTGGCAGAATTGGCCTCATGATGCTTTTGATCCGGGTGGCTTCTGCTGCGACGATTGCAAGCCTGATTTGGACGAGCAATTCTGGCTTTCACTGCAACCTGCCGACGCTGAGCGTTTCGACAGGCTTTGCAGAAGCTTCAATGGCCGCCAGTCGGCCGAATATGCTCGTCAAGTCGGCGATCACCGTCAAGCTAGTGTGCGGCTGAGTTGATCTCAGTTGCAAGGCGGGGCCTACTGACGACAACACGGATCTTAGCCCCAGGTCTTGGGCGCAACCCCAGCGCCCCATCTCCCCACTGCCGCCGCAAGGTAATAGCTTTTGCCTGGAGGGGCTATATATCTCTCTGGCATACGGGTGTTATGGCCATCCGGTGTTTTGCTCCGTGGGCTGTCATCTGTCAATTTCCTCAGCCGCATACCGCATATCCTCTTTGCAGCCTGGGAAAGGTGGACGGCACTGCTTGGAACTTGTGCCCCAAGCAGGTGACACTTTCATGTCAATGTGTCAGTTTCCAGCTCTCCGGCATAACTAGTAGTGCAGCCATGTTAAGCGCATTGTGGTCTCAAGCTTCTACTGCAGATTTCTCGTCCCTCTTTCCTCGCTCCATCTCGCTCCTTGACTCCTGTTTGCCTTTACCATTTCTTCTCTCCCCCTCTCTGTCTCTCTCTTTCTGTGTCTTACTTTCTTTTCCCGCTCTTGTTCTCCCTCCTCTCTTCTTTTACCTTTGCCGCCGCCCCAAATTGATCTTCTGGTCCTTGTCAACCGTTTGGCTGCCAAGACCGGCGTCCAGGCACTGCGTGGGCCCACCTCACTGGCAGGCTTTGGTACCGGGCAATGACCTGACCTACAGAGGAGTCCTCCCAAAGATTCTGCATGGCCAACCTTGTTTCTGTGCTCTCTTGGTTCCTGGCAACCTCCAGCCCCTTTAGAATTTTTCCCAGAGGGCATCAATTGTCTGAGGTCTAGGAAGCTCCGTGGAGGCTACCTACGTACCTCCTATCTAACTACCTTCCCCTACCCTGATCAGGTCCTTAGTAATTTTATTACCGCCTTGGCAAAGGTCCCCCGCCCTGCCCCTCCACCCCCCTTGGATTTTGACGCGTTTGGTGCCAAAAAACTGCTTTTTGCCCCCAGGTCTAGGGGGCCCCTGCCTTTCAGGCCCAGGACCCTGGAGTTTGACTTACAAGAAACTACGCTCCCCCCCAAACCGACAAAATCGCAGCCGTATGAGCCATATGAGCCGTTTGGACCCGCCCAGCCATAAGGGGGTGGGTTAAACTACTCCTAGTCTTCGCCTGGATCTAAACGACAGAGGCCTCCGGCCTCGGCGGACTCTTGTTTGCAAACATGGATAAAACATGCTAAGTCTGTATGTTCGTGCATGTCAGCTGCGTTTGGGTTGCCTTGTTTTCTTGACATATTTTATGGCCTCAAATTTTGAGTGCCTTTCAAGAGCTGAACTCCGACTTCATTTTCTGAGGTCTCTATGAGCAAATCCTTGCCCGAACTTGCAAACCCTGATGCTGTATACACGTGGACAAAGCCTCAAGCAATCAAACTCCAAGACTCCGGGTAAAGTTTTCAGAATCAACTCTGCGTTGTGCAATTTGCTGACTGCAGTCGTAAGCCAAGCACCTGCCCCGAGACTTGGGTAGCTCAAGGTTCACTGGGCAGCGG